CTGGGGCAAAAATATTTGCACCAAATATGAGAAAAAACGGCAATGTATATTGTGTATAAAAATATCCAAAATAAAACCTACATTCGTGAAAGTTTAGGAGAAACATCATGGTAAAATCCCTGAAATACCATAAACATGCCTATGGGAGAACGTGTCATCTTGCAGAAGGCCACTTTTCATGAAGGGTGTGAGTTCAAACCATTGACAAGGTGAAACACATTAAACCCTTCATCACAGATATAAAAAAAATAAAAACTACATATGTCAAAAGGTTTAGGATAAAATATTATAGAATAATTCATGCAAAACATAGCAATCCTATGGGGGAATGTATCCTCTTGCACAAGGTCACTGTTACTGAAGGGTGTGCTGGCACTACTCCTGCATCTCAGTTATACGAAGCAATCAACCCAGATGGGACTCGAACCCACAATCCCTGGCTTAGGAGGCCAGTGCCTTGTCCATTGGGCAAAAAATATTTGCACCACATATGACAAATAAACCACGATCTATACTGTGTAGAGAAATTTCCAAAATAAAAGCTACATTCGTGAACATTTTAGTAAAAACAGTATGGAATAATTCATGCCAAATACAGCAATTCTATGGGAGAATGTGTCCTCTTGCAAAAGGTACATTTTACTGAAGGGTGTGAGTTCAAACCTCTGACTAGGACAAACGTATCAAACCCCTTCATCTCAGTTATACAAAGCAATCACCCCAGATGGGACTTGAACTCACAATCCCTGGCTTAGGAGGCCACTGGGGGCAAAGATATTTGCACCAAATATGAGAAAAATATCCAAAATAAAAACATTTCTCAAAAGTTTAGGACAAAACAGCATGGTATATTATGTCCAAAAACGTGAAAATATTAACAACATGGTATTGTATGTGTACAAAGTCGAACATTTCAGTGAAAAAAATAGTATAGTATGTCAAATATATCAGGAAAAAAAGTATATTATAGCATGTAGAAAATATGTATACATATGACAAGTAACATAGGATTTCATCCTGAAAATATTTTTAAAAAGACACAATACAATATGTTTGAAATATCATTAAAAAATAACAGAGTAGGATATCAAAATATCAAATATAAGGACATTTATAGTATTTTGAAATTGTTAGAAAATATGTATTGTATAATATGCTCAAATTCATGTAGAATGTCAAAAATATCACATAACAAAAGAAAACACATAACAGTATCGTATATTGAAAAACTCAGATCTTGGTTTGTCACAAATCTCGGAAAATATCAAATATGTCATCAGCATAGTCTTGTTTCACGAGCATAACACTTCACTTGTTGTCCCTGCGATGTAACTGCTTTTATTCACAAAACTTCTGTTAAGCCATCTCCCTGAAATGTAACTACTGTATGTCTTGTGGTTGGATATTTATGTACAGTTTACTTTAATATCTTCTTCTCCCATTCACTTTTGACACTATGTTGGAAATGTCTCTGCACATTTTAGGGATAGACTGCATGTGTGAAAGGCACTTCATTCATGTTTTTTGGGGACAATGAATGGCAGTAATACCTAAAGGTAACCTATTATGCAAAATCCACTTTTTCACGTCTTTTATACATAAACATGTGTCCCCTTTGTGTAAAGAGACTCTGAACGTTTCGGGAAAAAAGATTCCCTCACTTTTTGTCCTGATCCATAACAACCCTTGAAACACTTTATGATGTCATAACGATGTTTTGGCTTCTGTAACCATTAGCCAATAACCAACCAAGTGAACACCCC